CCATTTAGTGTAAATGTTGGGCCCAATAAGAGCCCATGCTGATGAACTCATGGGTTCACTGTTTCCTACAGTGAATTCGGCCAGGCCTTGTAACAGAGGCTGGGCTGAACCCATGTGGCTGATGTGTAGATCAATGTTTGGGTCCCACACCATACAAGGATACCCTATTGAGCAGCAGTTTGGAGGATAAGTGAGCACATGGACTTAATGGGCCTAAAGCCCAAACCGAACTGGTTTAATATGATTAATTAAATAGATGCGGTTCTGGGATTTGGATCAGCAGATAGGATAAGGGATTATCCCTATCCACTCAGAGAGTCCAAATCCAAGTAGAGATTTGGATAAGGAAACTCCTAATTAGATTAAGAGGGTTGATCTTTATCTGTAAATAAGATAAGGGTTTATCCTTATCTCTTAAAGAGAGTCCAGATCCAAATACAAGATTTGGATTAGGAAACTCCTAATGGGATTAGGAGAATCTCTCTTTAAGGCTATAAATAGAGGAGGAGGGCGAACCCTACTTCACCCAATCAGATTACAGATTCAAGAGAGAAGACAGCTCCAGTTAGACTGACGCCATCTTCTGCTCTTGACCTTTCCTATTGCCGCCACCATAGCCAGTTTGATCTCCACCTGTAGGAGCGATCAAGAAATGTTCTTGATATCAGTTTTTGGTGAAAAGCTGATCTGAAGTCGTGCTCACACACCCTCCATTGAATTCTTGCTGAAGAGTTCGGTTCTTGCTGAAGAACCACTTGCTGATTCTGCTCCACCCTATGTTGTGTCATCTTCAGTGTGAGCAGTCTTTGGCGTTTTCCTTGGGCGTGAACACCTTCGTTGGGAGTTACTGTTACTCTGTATCAGGTACATCCCTCTCCTACCTTTTGGATTCAGATCTGGTCCGGTTTAGGTTCAAGATTGATCATTGAAAATGCAGTTTTCTAAAACAGAGAATGTGATTCCCATATGAGAGAGAGAAATTTTTGAAATTTCACTCTACCTACCGTCCAATACGTCTAAATTGATTTTGGACTGAACGGGGTCCAATCCAAAACCGGTCCATTGACACCCTTACATGTGCCATGCCATTTAAAGGACAGGACAGGATGAAGGATGATAGCTAGTCCTCCATTCTGAATCAATTTGGTTGCTTTTGAAGCAACTAAGTAAGTAACTTCCTGCTACCATTTGCTTCGTTATCTTGCTACGCTTTAGGGTTTTATCTCTGAAAATTTTCTTCCATTCATTGGCATAAAAATTTGGGAAAATTCTGAATCAATACCCTATAGTTTGGCTCGAGTGACAATTTGGTACCCAAACTTTAAAATGTGACAATCCAATACCCGAACTTTCAAAATGTGACAATCCAGTACCTACCATTAACCAGTCCGTTAATCAGCCGTTAAGTGACATTTGAAAAGTAAAAAATGCCCTAAGAATGCCATCTAATTCTCTTTATCAACCATCCAAACATTGGCAATAAAATGAATAGTTCTAAATTCTAGATTCTTCTAAACAGTCACCAACTTTTTTGAATAGAAGAGGCTAGGATTTGGGACTGTTCAGTTTTTTGTCAATGTTTGGATGGTTGATAAAGAGAATTAGATGACATTTGAAGGACAATTTTGACTTTTCAAATGTCACTTAACGGCTGATTAACGGACTGGTTAACGACAGCTACTAGATTATCACATTTTGAAAGTTTGGGTACTGGATTGTCACATTTTGAATATTCGGGTACTGGATAGCATTTTAAAGTTCAGGTACCAAATTATCACTCAAACCAAAGGACGGGTACTGATCGAGAATTTTCCCTAATAATTTTCATCTCTGAAAACTCGGTCACCAGTGTAACCGGAAAAACCATAAACATGTGTATTTCCATTAAATTTTCTAAATTATGAGCACAAATGACATGTCCAAAAACAATTGAATTTGAACCCTCAGCAAAACGAATAAGAATCTCATTAAAGCCCAAAAAATAACACAGTTGAAAAATAACAGAAAAGTAATGCTAAGCAATAGAACACGTCATTTCTCCCATGGAACAAAATAAAGCAGAGTTGGCGTTAATGTCCAGGACGGATTAACTGATTAACTGATCATTTACCAAAAGAGGGATTAATTGATTAAGCTCCTGAACCCACATCTTGAACATGCAAGAACAAAATAATGTTTGAAGATAAATTAAGATAAAATAAGTAAAAAATAATGAAAGAAGAAAGTTCAAATCCCTAACTTTTTATTTGTATTGTATATATTTGTATTTATTATAAAACACGGTTGAAAAGGCAATACTCAAACAGAGATCGTGTTTTTTCAGAATCCAAAAAAGGAGTTGTAAAATAGCTAGAAATATATATATAATATAGTTAGAAAAACTCACTCTACTACAAACCTCGAAACTACAGCATCAACGAAACTATTGAATCTCACACATCATCTTAAACTACCTTTTCTACCGACAACTAGTAATTTCCTCTGGATTATAGAATCAAACTGAGCCAAAGAATCGTGGAAAGGGCAACCAACACCCGGGGAACTTAGAACCCTAACAGAATCATAAGATAACATTGTACTTGATTGCAACTGCTTTTAAATCTGTTCAACCAAACAGGCTAGGTTTTAAGAAACCCAAAATTAGAGATAGGGTCGAGTGATAGTTTGAATGGTTCAATTGTCTAAGTCAACAATAAGTTGAAAACATTGAATAAAACTTCATAAATTTATAATCCATTTAAAAATAATAGAAATAAATTAATCACAATAAAAATAATTTAGTTAGTTAAATGAAATAAAATGATAAAAATATTTTTATTAATATAATAAAAATAATCTAATTAATGGAAAGAGTAAGATAAATTAAAAATTAATATAAAACTAATACAAAACTATCTAACAATTATTAGTTTTATGATTAATTTTTACTAATTTAAAACAACTTTAGTCCCACTGAAAAACAAAAATTGAATGTAGTTAGTTAAATTTAAGAACTAATAAAAACAAAAATTAATAAAATATTATTAATTTTAAAATACACTTAAAACATTTAAGAATAGGAAAAATTATAAAAACCTTTTTGGGTTTTCTAAAAAATCCCATGAAACTCCCCTACGTTTTGACCTTAACAAAAACTACACCTATTTTTTTTGGGAAAAGGTGCAAATACTTTCCTTTCGTTAGTATTCTAAATAAAAAATGTTAATATAATGCTTTAAAATACCAAATTTACACATAACCAACTTCATTCACATAAAATTTATTAAAATACCTTGAAGAGTAGACAAAATTAGCCTTTGAAAGTTATCCAGCAAAATAAATTAGTGGAGGGTAAAATTGAATTTTAAATTGTATATGATAATGCCTTAACAATGTAAGGGTATTTCGATAAGTTCAATGTCTTTGTTATTGAAAACCAAGGGAAATGAGCCATTTGCACTTTTTTTTTTTTCAAAACTATATGGGAAGCCTTTGCTAGGATCATAACACAGACGGTTTATAGAATTGTTATAAAAGGAGACATTTTATAATTTTACCTAAAAATAATACAACATAATAATAAACCAATAAAAATTAATAAAAAATAGCATTAAGATACAAGAAAATAATACAAAATTATTTAGAGCATAGGAAATTAGCCACTATCACTAAAGCGCAACTTAGTTTTTGATCAGATAAACTAGACATAACCCAAAAAATAATACTTAAATTGGACTTAGATGGGCATTGCTTAATTGGAAATGCCATATGCCAACAATTTTGCTCTGTCCTCAATTTTGCCATAAAGCTCTGTTCTCAATTTTGCTTATAAATAAACTCATTCATCACATGGGTCCTAACTATGAAAAGAGGAAATACAAAAATTTAGAAAATCAATAGGAGAGAGAGAGAGAGAGAGAGAGAGAAAGCTTAATACACCATGCAGCTTGATTTGCTACCCTAAAAGAATGGGCATAAGAGACACCACTCAGGAACATCGATCAGCCTATTCAAGCTAAGATATCACGAATAGAGTCACCATCGATACAAAAGACACTTAACACTTCAATACCCATATTACTGCTACCAATGTGCTCTACTCTACATACCCTCTTTCAAATTTAACCTCTAACAATTAGTAAGTTAACTCCTCGCCTTGTTAATTTGACCAGCATCATAACAAGACCTCTCAACAAAAAATAGTATCTGGATTGGATAAGGAGCGAGCACGACTCCATTTCATTTTCTACCTTGCCCCACACCTAATAGATTTCCATTAACCCACCCATTTGACGCCTAGCATTGGCATCCAGGCCACTCACCTTGACGAGCCCGCTTAGCCAAGTTAAAGAATATTTTATCACCATCGAATCGAATAATGTTGAACACCATGTTTCAGGATGCTTGTCACTTGGCTAAACATGCAAAACCACTTCCTTTTCCTCCTGGTTCTATTGCTGTTATTGGACCATTTCAACTACTGCATTGTGACATTTGGGGAAACTATTGAATACCCCTTATCTGGTGCTCATTTCTCTTTGTCATTGTTGATGATTCAGAAGCCGCCAGTTTTCTCCATCAGATGGCTGGGTTACAGCCCAGAATAATGCTCAATGAAATAAAGAATAAAAGAAAGCATTTGGCAATCGGATGAGGATGGTCAATGGTGATTGTGCTCATACAAAGGTATTTCATCTGATATGGTTAAGCACTTAAGCTTCATATAGTTAACACAACTTCAAACAATATATATGGGAAGAATGTCTCTATTCAGTACAAACAAGTCAGTTGGGTTTTAGTCTTATCAACAGCACATACAACAAATGGACTGGAAATAAAAATAAAGAACGGACCTGTTAAGAAACTTAAAAGAGAATTAAGCCTTGTGACCACATTTACAAGCCTAACCAGAATCTGCAAGCTCCACCCCCCAAGAATGCATGCATACTTGTATAAGAGTTGAAAACCAATACACTAAAATTATGGGGGCTTCAACAATCCTCTGAAACTGAAAGATAACTAATATCAGCACACTTATAGGCAAAACCCGCTTCTGTGAGCTTGGGCACCATAACAAGGAGAATATCCAGAACCTTCTCTGATTTGCTGGAACTAAACTGGCTATCCTCACCTATTGCCACTGACATCTGCTGCAGGAACCTTAGCGGGGTAATTTGACAAATCCATGTCAATAAGTGATAGATCATATGGCTGAACAAAAGAACTTGAAGTATCCACAAGTAAGGACGACCTCATTGCCTCAGAATCTGTGGAATCCTGCAAGCTATTAGGATTATTGGGAGTACTGGTACCAGATGAGGAGAGGCTACATAGCTGTATATCATCAATTTTGTTCCCAAACAAGTGTTTATTTCTTCTGACAGTGTCCATCTCCTGGCCTATAGGCACAAAGGTGCGTGACCGGTACTTTGTTGTTCCATCATCACCCTCACTGTGGTTGTAAAGCACATAATCATGGTAAGTAGGTGCAAACTGCAGAAAAGAAAGAGTCTTCAGTCCAAGCAGTAGAGTAAGCAAAAGAAAAGACCAGAGACAAGCATGCATATGCAACACTAACCTGATGCACTGTATCATGGTAGAAATCATTGAACTTCAAAGCATGAGCAAGGCTTGCTGTCAAACCACCCGAGGCACCAATATTTGCACCCGCATATTCTTTGTATGGAAATGCATAAAAATGACCTATAGCTGCAATTAGCATCTCAACGCATACTATGAAGTTCTGAAACTCAGCAGCCTCCTCAGCATTCTTGATGTATCTGGACTTTGCAGCAAGAAACACCAGAACACCCTGAAAAAAATATTGCATCAAATTAGTTAAAGCCCAATTTCAAAAAAAAAAAAGAAAAAAAAAACAAAGATATTGAGACACCGTGTATGTAATCTTTGCCTGCCCCACTGAAATCCCCATTGAACAACTTCATGTTTTGAGTACTCACTAACTGGGTATGGTTGTGGAGAAAAAGATAAAACAAAGAAACAAACTTTCCTTAGTGGCGTAACGAAAAAAAAAAAGAAAAAGAAAATGAAAGAAAACCCAGTCTTGGATTTTTCTCTTTATTTTCTGTTAGTGCAGACAGAAAACAGTAGGAATCAATTTGAAACTTCAAAAGAAAATTGTTGACCCACTCTCTCTCATATTGGCCTCCACTCCTTGTAGCTCTATACTTCTCCATCAAGACTCTCAACTCATCCGATAGTCATGGAACTCCAGAAAGCATAACCTGTAAGTCACCTCTCTCCATCTCACTCATGCAAAGGTTTAAAACATACATTAAATCTTATTCCTTTAAAATAGTTGGGAAGGGTCAGCAACTGAATCAAGGATTCTCGACAACGCATCGAGGAGAGAAGTTAACAAGTTAATTGCACATTAAGGTAACTACTAAAAATATAATTATTTAAGGCAATAAAAACTACAAATTAAATTGTGATGGCTCGAAATTTTTTGTCTCTAGTAAATATTAGTATATGCAGGTTTTATATTAAAAACCAGATTTTATGTGCCATAAGGAAAACTCGGTCTAACAACCTGAAAATGTCCCAAGAATGTTTAGAACTAGATGGGGATGAGCTACAGCTCAAATGAAAGAGAAGGAACAAAAGGCCTACAGAAAACAGCCCCCATCTCTTTTATTAGACTCAATGGCTTGCTGGAGAAGCCAATTAAAATATTTACTCTCAAGTCCCTAGAATGTCCCTCCTTCACAAACAGCAAGAAAAAGCAAAACATGTAGAAGAGTTTCAAGATGCACTCTCCCAACCATCACATAAATATGACCAATATGATAGGGTTGATGATGAAGATGACATAGCATATCCAGATGATTGTGTGACAGAAAGAGACAAAATAGCATACAAAAAAGTTGTTAGTGTCTCTTGAAGATAGACGGAACAATGATCAATTATGAAGAGTTAATTCAAGTAGACTAAGTAGTGGCCATCAAGGATCTAGTGTTGGTGGTAGTAGTAGACAAGGACAAAAGTAGAGTAGTATGCATATCGTTCATACAGTGTACGAGAACATTAAGTGCCTATAGACTCACAACTATATCAATATAAAGATGTAGGTCAAAAGAAATTGAAATCAATGTTTAGTGGTCATGATTTGAGAAAAAAGCTGGGAAGAGCAATGGCAAAGTTTTTTCATTTCAATCATATTCCTGCCAATGTTGCCAACTCTCTTGTGATGAAGTGGCAAGAAGTGGCCCAGGTGTAAAGCCACCCACCCCTTATGAGATAATGGGCCCTTATTTGGATGAAGAAGAGAGTGAAATAGAAGTATATATAAAATCTCTTAAGCTGAATTGGCCTAATATGGGATAACAATTATGTGATGGTTGGACAGGTCCTACAAGGTTGTCTATTATTAATTTTATGGTGTATTGCAATGGAAAGACAATATACACATCCATTGATATGTCAAGAGATAAAAAAATGCACCATATATTTACAAGTTCATAGCATGTATTGCTAATGAGGTAGGACTTGAAAATGTGGTGCAGATTGTGACAGACAATGGATGTAATTATTTGAATGTAGGAAAAGAATAATAGATAAATACAACATATTTTGGACTCCATGTGCTGCACATTGCCTTGACTTGATAATAGAAGAAATCGGAAAGAGGAAATTAATGAAGACCACCATTGATAGTGCAAGAAAAATAACAAATTTTATCTACAACCATGGTCTGCTTCTTGCTATGATGAGAGAACAGTGTAGAGGGAACATTGTTCGACCAGGGGTGACACGATTTGCCACAAACTTCATTGCTCTTAAAAGCATTAAAAAGCATAGGCAAGGTCAGAAAATTTTATTTAACTCTAGAGAATGGGAAGAATGTGACCTCAATAAGAAGCCTGAAGGTAAAAAAGTTGAAGAAATAGTTTGTAGCAATTCATTTTGGGATTCGGTGCATAATGTGGTTAATATCTTGGAGCCTACGTATTAGGTTTTATGAATGGTTGATGATGATACATGGCTAACCATGGGCTTAGTGTATGAGGCTATAAGACTTATGAAGGAGTTTACTAGAGACGTTACTCCAAGATCTTATCAGGGGTACTGAAAGATCATAGATGAAAGATGAATAAAACAACTTAAGCACCCCCTTCATGAAGTTGGTGAATATTTTACTTCTATCATTTTATTTATTTATTTTTATAATGTTATCAAAGTTTATAATTTTAATTTTTAAATGCATGTCAACTTATTTTTTGAACCCAAAATATCAATACAAATATGAACTTGGGGATCATGCGGATTTATTGAAAGCATTACAAGATGTCATTGAAAGATTAGAACCAAGTCCTAATGGGCAAGCTGATTGCATGATAGGAGGTAATACATGCAAATTGTGATGATTAAGCATATAAGCATATATATTACTTATTATATTTTTAATATTAATATTATTATCAACTATTTGTCAATTGTCACCTACCCTGTCTTTGTAGGTGTTAAAATTTAGGAATGCAATTGGCTCATTTAGAAGGCAATCCGTCATTAGTTTAAGAACAAAAATGCACCCAGGTAGGTAATATCATAATGCCAAAGCTCAAAGCTCAATTACAACAGAGTGTCTATTTAGTTTTTTAAATTAGATTTCATGATTCTATTTATAAATATAGTTGAACAATTAAATTGATAAAAAAAAAATATTTATAGTTGAATGGTGGATGACGTATGGACTTAATGCTCCTACTTTGAGACATATAGTTGTACGTGTGTTATCTCAAACAGCTACATCATTAGAATGTAATAGAAATTGAAGCACGTCCTCTCTTATCCACACAAAACAGCGAAACTACTTGAATCATGAAAAGCTTAAAAAATTAGTTTTTATCCACTACAACTTAAGGCTCAAGGCCAAACATCTTAAAGGTGACGAAGAAAAAGAAATTTATACTTATCCTTTGAACCTTCTAGATGTATATGCTGAAGACGAAAAGAACCCACTTTATGAATGGATAAAGTCTCTTGAGCCTTTGTTAGATGAACCAAGTGGAAGACCAAATTCTTGTATAGCCAATGAGATGGAAATTAATGTCGATGATTTTATGGCATCTCAAAATCAAGGGCAACAACAAATTGAGGAAGAGGAAGATGAAGATGAAAATTGGTTTGATGAATTTGTAACTCCAAGCAACACAAGAAGTGGAAGTGGTGGGGGTAGTGGTGATGATGATGACGATGGTGGTGGTGATAATGGTGATGATGGGGGTAATATCCAATATGAGCCAAAATCAAAGACATTTGAGCCCAAATATTGGAGGATCAAGGTTAGATCATAGTCAAGCTTCTCATGTTACCACTTCTACAAATGAACCGATAAGGCAATATCAATGAAGCTATATAAAAAGGAATTTTAGAAGCTCAATAACTAAAAAAGAAAAGAAAATTTTTCTACTATTTTACACAAAAAAGTAGAAATACATCTTGTGCATCACAGGTCATTGCTAGTGTATAGAACGGGCTAGCATTGATGTGTGGTATCAGCATTCTAAGGGCATCCAACCTTTAGAGTTGTGAGGCAAGTTTTATTAAAGTTTGATTTGCTATATTTTAGGGGTCTTCTACTTTTTGTGACTCGTATCAATTAGGGAAAAGCCATAAATTGTTATTGTATTCTTCTAGTTCAAGGTCATTGGGTCCTCTTGATTTATTTTTTTCTTAATTCTGGTTCTTTTTCTTATGCATCTTTCTTTAGAGCCATGACCCAACCTTATATCAATCTTAGGCTGCCTTTTCCCATTAAAAGAGTGGGGAAAGCCAATTCCTCCGAGAATCGAGGCCTTCTGTTGGGAAGCTTTTCTAGGAAAGACCAATACTTGTGATTTACTTCAAAGAAAAAGACCTTGGTGTTTGTCTCATAATTGGTGCATTTTGTGCAAGGCCAATGGGGAGAACTGTTACACTTGTTTGTCTCTTCAGCTGTAAGTGGGATGAAGAGGAAGGGTAAAGTTCTTTGGAGATGCAATAGAGCTGCTATATGCTGGACAGTGTAGAAATAAAGGAATCAAAGGATTTTCCTTGATAAGGAAAGGAGTACAAGTGCAATTCTAGAGGTTGTTACAATTAGAACGATTCAGTGGGTGAAATCTTTGAAAATGTTTGAGGATATTCCAACAGGGTTGCTGCTTAATAACTGGGTGGAAGTGGCCAAATCTACACCAAGGAAAGCTGTCACTAATCCCTTTGTGGTCTCCACCAGCTGAAGGGTTCATAAAGTTAAACTTTGATAGAAGAAGCGAAGGCAACCCTGGGCCTTCAGGTATTGGAGGTGTATTTAGGAATGAGAAAGGACAAGCCTTGGCTCTATTCTCTGAGTCAATTGGTGTAGGTGATTCTCTCAGGGCTAAGATTTTGGCTGCTTTGGAAGGGTTAAAAAGAGCAAAAGAATTAAATATCCACAATCTAATCATTGAAGTGACTCCAAGTTAGTTATTGGCTAGTTAGAAAAAGAAGAGAATGGACTATGGGAACATGCAAATGAAAGAAGAAATTCAAATGGCTTTCTAGAGGCATGGTAGTAAGACTTCAATGGGTCAGAAGCAGTGCTAATTTTTGTGCTTTTGTTGTCCTTCGGGAGGGCTAAAAGGGTTTACCTCTCCTCATGGATGTTGTAATTGTTGTTCTTTATTAATAATTTTTCTGTTATTGATAAAAAAAGGAATTGGTTTGTGATCTAAGGTTGCTCTTGGTAAAGCTTCCACTGTCACATCTTGAAAGAGCTCCTCCCATCCACTGTTGATCAGAAATATATCAAGCTTGGATAAATCTGGCTAACTTTTGAGGTTGCTCCAATGTGAACTTACCCCCTTGCATCGACAAAACAAATTAATTAGGCCCAAGTGATCCACAAAACCCCCAAACTCTTGCATGGCTCAAGTCAATCTTGATCCTCCCTTCTTTTCAAATGTGAATGACACCTCATTAAAGTCACCACCTAAACATCATGGATTCCACCTACGATAGCATTCCTCCAATTCTCTCCACGTCACTTCTCTTTGGCTACCTTCATTTTGCATGTACACCATTGATAGCATCTATATCAGTCCACCTTTGATCTTGAAGAGTATCGATATTGAGAATATTCCCACCGCAAAATCAACACCTTCAAGATATTCTCTATCCCACATTATAAGTCTCCCACCAAATGGCAAAAACATGACAAAGGTTATTTTTCTTTTTCTTTTCTTTATCCCACTTCCATTGCAACCAAACAGCATTAATACGTTGGTTTTAGCATTCTCCTATTCATGCGCGAAAAAGAGAAGCAACCAAGATAGGTTTTACCTTTTAAGTTTAGCAAACAACTACTCACAAGAAGAAGCAAGATCCCCCTATCATTACCAGCTCTACAAAAGATAAAATACTCATAATTACAAAATAGATTTAGAAAATAAGAGATTATACCTGCCAATATGTCAGGAAAACAACAGATTTGATCATGATGAACTTTGGAACTGGATTGAATGGCCGAAGCAGATCTCTACATGCCACATAGAACAAGACCAGGGCATAGAGCGCCGTCGAATAGGAGAATGTATAAATGATGGTGATATATAGATAAGCTTGTTTCGCACTGAAATTTCCATCTTCATACTTCCCTTTGGCATAAAGTATGAATGTAACTGCAACTAAAATGGGTTTCAGAATCACAAACTGCAAAGTACCTTGCTTGCATCTCCGTATGAAACGTCTGCATGGCTTAAAAAGTTTTAGCTATGTGTATTTATCAGAAGTACAACACCATCCAAATGTACACAACACACAGGCAGAGGTGTCAAAAAAAGCATATAATTATCAACCAAAATTCTTGGATGGATACATCATATGAATTGAAACAAGAGATTTCACTAATATAAAGTGCATACCCATCCAAAGGTATAGCAGGGAAGCAACATGTCATCAGATACCATGATGGCTTTAGAACTCTACCACTTAAACTTAGAACAACAGCACCAGGGCCACCCACCCATGCCAAGCACAGTGACAAGAAATTATAAATGACCCAAGCTTCATACCTGAAAAAGGTTACATCAGTAATTAGTGGTTAATGGCTTTCAATGAAATAAGCATAGAAAAGATATCAAAAAACAATGAAATAAACATAGAACCATGAACTTAAGAACCCATTATGTGTACAAGGGCACAAGGCTACTTTTGGTACAACATAGAACCAGTAATTCAAAGGAGGTAGTTCAACAGGCAGTACACAAGTAACCAGCCCATTAAAATATTTTTTTTTATTGAAAACGGTAACTTTCATTAAAATAGCAGTTAAACACACATACAATGTCAACCACTCAGAGCATGAGTGTTGACCCCAAACATATCTCAAAGCTTACAATACAGCCCCAAAAAGGTTTTCCCTGAGGGTCCCCTGCTTTGCCAAAGTAACAGCCACAGAATTGGTTGACCTCCTTACCCATTTGAATATTACTCCAGCTTCCCTTGCTAGGCAAAGTATTTCCCCCATTTGTTGTCTGAAAGTCCATATACCAAGCTTTTTGTCTGCATCCAACCTATTAATAGTTTAGAATCTCCCTCTACCTCAAGGTTTTAATATTCCCAATGCTTGACCATCCCATTAAAATATGAATCTCCTATTAAAAGAAAATTAAATTAAGTGTTTTAATTTCTATGAAATACCAAAAAATATTCAGAAAATAAGAATCCCGGATTGTTGGTAAAGAATCTAAGAATCTGTGTTTGAAGATCTCTGACTCATGCAATCAAAAATCTTGGGTTGCCAATAATTTGCCCTTTCAACCAACCCTAGGAGATGAAGAGTTAGTGTTAATTCTCTTTCCTTCTTTTACAGCCAGTTTCTCCACCCTCTGATCCTTTGCCCATATCATCTGATAACTCCAGGCCAAGCGTTCCAGTCTATCTTGACTTGCAAATGATATCAAAGAAAGGACAGGAGAAAAAGGAGAAGAGGGAAGAGTAAAGGCAAAAGAGAAACTAAGAAAGATACTCTCATATTATTGTTCACCACCATCGGCAATTCCTTGTAAAGGTGTGAACAAGACCACTTAACTAATGTGTCTACAACAACAAAACTTCCCTTTCACATGATAAAAAGAATTTTAAAACAAAAATACCCTCAACACTGCAAGTTCTACTACTCCCCATGAAGCTGGAGTATATATATCATATAAGCCCAGCTTGTTGCACATAAAATAGACTCTCTGAATTAAACTCTTAGTAAATAAATCAACCAGTTGATTTTCAAATGCCAGAAAAGGGATTGATATTTCTCCATGTTTTCAGTGTTAGAATGCTTGAGAAGTGAAAAAGAGAAGAGAAGAAAGGATTGAACTGTTGAGAGCCAAAAAGAATAGTGGGCGACTGCCCATCTTATTATCTATATTAGAGTGACCATGAAAAGAAGTAAAAAAGACAACATTGCCCCTGATACACTAAACTGTACATAAACACAGCATAAACAACACTTCCCCCTCAAGTTGGGTCATAGATATCTATCATTCCTAGTTTGTTATAAAGCTCAATGTCACAGGAGGCAGACACTCCCTTAGAAGAACATCAGCTAACTGATTCATAGTAGCAACACAAGGAGTACAAATGTAACCCAATTCTAATTTCTCCCTGGTGAAATGTTTGTCTAGCTCATTATGCTTCATCCCAGCATTAAGGACTGTGTTGTGAGCAATGCTGATGGCAACCTTGTTATCACAGTAGTGTCATAGGACCTTTTCTTACAAGTAAAAGAGAATTTTATTAATGAAAATAAAAAATTAATACTTCCATCAATGGTGGTAAGATGGCACCACTCACCAATCACAACTCACCCAAAACAACAAACAAACAGGCACAACTCTAAGCACAACAAGGACACCTCATGAAATCATCCAAATCACCAGAAAAAGCTACCCTTAAGATCTCCAACAGGTACTATTATTCCTCATCAACATAAAATTCTTCTGCCCCTCCTTCCTCATTCCAAATATCTCCCCCATCCCCTGTTAAAGATTTCTTAAAACTCTCTTCCTTCTCTTTTCAAACTCCTCAATAGCCCTCTAGCAAAAGTCTCACCTCCTAAGAAGAACAGACCCCAAGACTTGCCAACCTCCACCTCAAAACATCAACATGTTTCTTTAAATCCAAGCTTCTCAATTCACCTCCTCCCCCTTTGATTCCACCTCTTCCTCATCCTTCTTATCTTCCTAATTTCCTCCAAACCTTCACTTTTAACTGACTCCTCCCCTAAAGGGATCACCAAATATTTCCTTTCCAGAACCTGCGAAACCTGACTGTCCCCACCAGGAATATCAGATATATTCCCTTTAGATTTGGCACCCCTTCTTTTGTATATCTTTTTAAATTTATTGATTGGACCTACCCCAATAAGATCATCTTTAAGACTTAAGAATACCTAGTAACGTGCACGATATGAGGCTTGTTCAAAATCTTGTCCTCTTTGAAACCAACGCTGAAGCAACTGACTTGCAAATCTCTAATTCCTTCCTCCTAAATCCCAGGTCAACACCTAGTTTCCCAATTAACACTTTAGGAGCAAAAAACCCATCCCTACTCTCAGGAAATGGAACCATGTCCAGAGCCAGGTTGGCACATTTTGAACCTAAAATGCCACCAGAAACTGTTGTCTTCCTCCACCACTCCCTTCTGCCTCACCCATCTTATCTCTCTCCACCCCATCCCCAAAGCCAACCACCTCCAACCCTTGAGAAAATCCCCCACTCACATTGACACCTCCATCCCTAGACTTCTTTATTGGCTTAACAGAATCACAACAGAAGCAAGGCTCCCCCCAAATTCACAACAACCTCCTGAGATGAAGCCCCAAATTTGACCACCTCTGGCTCACCATCGGAAGGTCCACCGAAGATCTCCACTAGCTGACGAGAGATGGAAGATCAAACAAAGAAAAACTCATCAAAATCCGCAGCCTTCAATCCAACTTTCAGTTGACTAGAGCTCGTGAATTTGGAAATCACACAGATCCACTCTGAACCCTTTCTCTTTCAAACAACATATGTGCCTCTTCACTTTCTCGAGATCCCTGAAATCTTAAGCCCCAAACTTTTTCTAAAAGGACTCTTTACCCACCTGCTCGAGTGTTAATACTGGAAACACAACTCCTTAAGAAAGTGGTCACCACTTGGCCTTCTAGTCCCTTTGAGAGCAGAAGATAAAAGATTGCCTCCCCTCTCTCAAAAAGCCCCCAACCTCTTTGACTTCTCCCCTCTCCTCAGTATTGGGAACCACGTGACCATGATTAAATAAAACAATCTCCCCTCCTGAAATTACTTTATTACCCCCCAACCTTTCAATTCTATTGTCTTCAACCTTTGAATGACCCTTCACCTTCCCATCAGAGACTGCACCAAGAGAGAAGGCTTCATCCCTGCAATCCTTTGTCTTCTCCTTCCTAATCTCCAAGGTAATGAAATTTTGTCCAGATCTTCTAACTCAACTAAGATTCTTGAAAATCAATCTTCTCCTAACTTCCATTTCTTCCATCAAAGCTTAGAAGTCTTCCACACCCATCTCCAATCATTTTGAAGGTCATCAGAACCCAAGCATGCAAGGGAATTCCCACCACACCACCCTTTTTCTCCTTCCATCAAGAATCATCCCTGCCGCTGGGAACACCAGCCTAATCTTAAATCAAACTCCCTCATTTTCTCCCTTTCTGAAACCAACACCCACTCTGCATCATTCCTGCTCTGAGACATAAACAATAGCAGACCTCCAACCAAATTCCTTATACCCACAACTCTTTCTTCACCCCATTCAAGCTTCACCATGCTTCAATCGATTCCCCCCTTCAATTTGAAACCAATGGACCTACCAACAAGACAAGCATTTTCAGCCTCTCGTTCAGAAACTCTACCTGTTTTGCCTCAATCTGAACCCTTAAGCTCTCAATCATCCTTCATGCAGTCCAGAAAATTCCAGAGGTTAGATGTTTCGCTGAGAATAGTCCCTTGCTTGCATGATTGGATGTCAACTAAATGCTTAGAATCTTCATCTGAACTATTGCACCTTTTTCCTCTAGCTTCTTTTCAAGAGATTCTGTCTGTCATGGGAATGCAATCTTTTTTTAAAGAAAAATAAAAAATAAAATTTATTAAAAAAAACAAAAAAAGATACAACAGGGTGATAAGAAATCACCCAACCAAAGAACCAACCAAAACTCTCAGCTTAACCCCTTATGTTTTGCTGATCAACCCTACAAACATCAAAGACATCCTGAAAATCCCAACCCAAATACAGCTACCAAGAACCCAGCACAAAAATCAGAGAAATCCTTCCACAAAACACGACGAAAAACATACAATAATATGACATCCCAACCATCCCCCTCAATCCCTATCTTAAAACAATGAAATGCACCCTGAATCCAAAAGACCATTTCCAACGAAAGGCTGAACTCAGACTTTACCCAACTTCTCAGCACATCCAGAGTTTAAACAGAGATTTTGCCTCTTATCTGAGGAGCTTTCTTTGTCTTCTTCCCCTTCTTTAGCCCCATCCCAAATCCTCCCAACTTTAATCTGGCAATAACTTTTGAAACTTGCACTGTTTGGTTAGTTTTCTGTCTTCTGAATCATCTTACTGCATTAGGAATTTTCTCCACCACCGAAGATGTCTCCCTTCTATCATTGATTATCTCCAATTCAAAATTCACATTCATTTCAAAAATTGATCTGCACCTGAGAATTCTCTCTTAGAATTCCCCTCCCCTATGACTCTGCCCATCTTCACACTCACCTTCCTCTCAGCCATCCAAGAAACCGAACCAGCGACCTTGTCTCCGTATCATCTCCTTCAACAGATCTCTATTCTCTTCTTCAACCTCCCTGAAGGCTTACTTAGTAAAATCCTCCCCCCACCCCACCCCACCCCCAAGGAAGAATAATCCCAAAGTTTTACTAATTTCCACCTCTTTGTTCAGCATCATTCCCATATCTGCTGTCTTCTCAATTACGCGAGTCTCATCTATAATTACTTCTTCCTCCTTTGTAGCCGAGAC